TCGCATGGATCACTGTGGCCAGGTCGGGGTGGGAATGGTAAGGGACCAACTGCTTGATGCGGCGAAGGTGGAAAAATGTTGCCTTGGCTGTTGCTGTAACTTGCGCCTCCATGGAAAGGGAGGCGTCAAGGATTACACCCAAACTCTTAACGGAAGGCAATGGCACTAATTGGGCCCCCGCAAGAGAAGGGAGTTGGTCCCTCATCCCCATGCCATCCCGACCCAGCCATAGGACCTCTGTCTTCGAAGGATTTAGTTTCAATCGGCTCCCACGAAACCATCCAGCCACAGCTTCCAAGCATCTGGTCAGTGTGTTCGGGGCCGAGTCGGTGTGGCCATCCATCAGCAGATAGAGCTGAGTGTCATCAGCATATTGGTGACAGCCCAGCCCAAAGCTCCGGATAATCTGGGCAAGGGGGCGCATAAAGATGTTAAAAAGTATCGGGGAGAGAATTGCGCCCTGCGGCACTCCACACACCAAGGAGTGGTGCAGCGACATTTCCCTCCCTAGTGCCACCCTCTGTCCCCGACCAGAGATAAAAGAGCACAGCCAGTTACGGGCTATGCCCTGTATCCCCACGCCTGCGAGGCGGTGGTCCAGAAGATCATGATCGACCATGTCAAAGGCTGCTGACTAATCTAAAAGGATCAGCAGTCCTGACCCGCCTCGATCCAGTTGTCTACAGAGATCGTCTGTTAGGGCAACCAGAGCCGTCTCGGTCCCAAAACCAGGACGGAAACCGGACTGAAATGGATCTAAAGCCGATGTTTCCTCCAGAAACCTACCAAGCTGTTCAGTAACCACTCTCTCAATTACCTTACCCAGGTATGGAAGATTTGAAACTGGGTGGTAATCGGATAGGTCTAAGGGATCTAATGAAGTTTTCTTTAAGAGTGGACATACCACTGCTTCCTTCAGTTCCCCTGGGAATGTCCCCGTGTCAAGGGAAAAATTGATAATTTCAACAGGGGGGTCCGCGCAACATCTGTACACTCCCTAATCAGCCAAGACGGGCACGGATCAAGGAGGCAGGTGGTGGGCCTACTAACTTGGAGGAATCTATCCACATCAGCAGGGAGTATTCGATCGAAATGGTCCAACACTGGACCTGAAGACTGTCGAGGGGCCTCTAGTTCAGTCACTGCATCTAAACTGGCAGGGAGGTCACGGCGGAGCAACAGGACTTTCTCCGCAAAAAAGCTCGCGAATGCCTCACAGCTGTGGGTCGAATTTGTGCTTAAATTTGGTTGTCCTCCCAAGGACGTTATTGACCTAATTATTCTAAAAAGTTGTGCCGGGCGAGAGCTAGCGGATGTAATGGAAGCTGCAAAGTAAGATTTCTTAGCAGCTTTCATAGCCATCTCATAGGCTTTCATAAGCGTCCTATAAGATGTTCTTGAGGCTCCGTCACGAGTCCGTCGCCATACTCGCTCTAGCCGTCTGAGATCCCGCTTCATTTTCTGGAGCTCCTCAGTAAACCAAGGGGCCCGGTTTCGACGGGGTCGCAGAGGGCGCTTAGGCGCGATCTCATCAATGGCTGCCAAGAGCCGGTTATTCCAGTCCTCAACAAGGTCATCTAATGAGTCGCCAGGAGGAGCAGGGTCCCGCAAGGCTTGTCGGAATCTATCAGGATCCATCAGTTTTCGCGGACGAGCCCAAATAGGTTCACCACCCGAGCAGGGGTGGAGCGGGAAGTCAATCTTGGCTTTCAGAGCGTAGTGATCAGACCATGGCACTTCCACAGCGGGGAGCATGATCACATCTATGCCAGCCCCAAAGATCAGATCCAGCGTGTGGCCTGCTTGATGAGTGGGGCCCAAAACAAACTGGGAGAGCCCTAGTGTTGCCATGGAAGTCACTAGGTCCAGAGCCTGTGAGGAGGGAGCGGCATGGACGTTGAAGTCTCCCAAAACCAGTAGGCTTGGGAACTCCAAGGCCCAGCCCGCCACCACCTCCAGCAGGTCTGACAGGGTGGCTGTCGGTGTGCTGGGTGGTCGGTACACCAGCCAGACAGCCAAGCTCTCCTTGGTGCCCCACACGGGACCAACACATTCAATGCCGGAGATCGCTGGTGATGGCAGGGCTCTGAAAGAGCAATCCTCCCGGATTAACAATGCTACTCCTCCCCCCCCCCGACCCACAGACCGTGATTGATGGAGGACAGAGAAACCTGGGGGTGTTATCTCATGTAGGGAGACTACTTCGCTTTCCTGTACCCAGGTCTCCGTCACGCAAGCCAGGTCAATCCCCTGCGAGACAAAAAAGTCACGCATGGTGGCGGTTTTGTTGCCTATGGACCTGGCATTGCACAGCACTAATGACGGAGGTGGGTAAACCTTGCTCTCCCTACCCTCATCCCTTGGGATGGGGCGTAGATTGGAAGGGGTTCGAGGATCACTGCATCTCGAAACCCTTCGCCGATAGAGATTTCTAGCACCACTGCCATTCCTCCCTAGCCCTTCAATAGTGGAAATCCCAGACCCCATACTAGCCTCCCCAATAGAGGGGTAACATCCCCTCAATAACAAATCATCCTTGGGCCAGGACTCCTGGGTCAAAATGGTATGGGGAAGAGGTGGAGGTTTGATAGGGTAAGTATCCCTAGAAGATAAAACCCAACCAACCGCACCCCAAGCGGGGAGGACAGTCTCATGGTGTTTCGTTAACTGTCAATCCCCCTCTCCCTCCTGGGTTGATTGGAGGATTGTTGCTTCTATCTTTGGCTGTGGGAGTATTAATGAGGTATGTGCTATAAAATGTGGATCACTGGCTAACAAAGAGCCAGCTTCGAATACGGAAGATCTGTCCATCCTGTCTCGCCAGGAGTACAGTAGAGAAGGTTGATCATTCTGATAAGTTTTTGGAACATTAGGCAAAGGTCCAGATGTAGATTTAGTGCTGGATATCTCTAGATTGTCAGCAACATAGAGTTCTTTAGGTGTTGTTGCCATAGAAATGTCGGAGGCGCCAAATTCCTCATCTAATTCGGTGTCGTTTGAAAAGGGAACGGAGTTGCACTGATGTCTTTCTATGGATAAAGAGCTGTTGGACGTCTTTAAATATTGTGCTCTAGGCTCTATTGTCTTTATATTTTGGGTAGAAATCTCAGTCTTTATACTCATTAGCCTCTTCTTCAGGTCTTGTAATACTAGGCTTACAGGGTTCTTTTCTTCCTTCGGGCAATTAGTGTTTCTAGTGTTGAGCTTGGTTTCTCTTATCCGCATTAGCTTTGACTCTATGCAAGGGACCAATTGCCTCCTAGTTTCGTCCTTAAATACCCTCACTGGGCGGAGAGAATGGAACCACCATAGAGTATCCTTTATCTCCATGAGTCGAGATGGGAGGGCTGATGACCTAAAGGTCATAAATAGGCATATGGTGTTTCTCAAGGTAGGCAGGAAGTGGAAATTTTCTAGATCTACATTTCGGTAATGGTAATTCAGGAGCTGAGATAAGGACATAGTAATTTGTCTGCGGTTCATCCATCTATGAGTGTATCGGTGAATCTCAAGCATTATCTGGTTCGTTTGTAAGACTTGACAGGACCTCACTTCATCCATAGTTTGAGTTGGTGAGTTGTTAACAGAGTCATTTCTTATCATCCTTTTAAGCCCTTGGGCATTTAAAGGGGAGGAACTAGTATCCAATTGTTTCTCAATGTTAACTATTCTAGTGAGGATTTCATCCAGTCTTTGGAGAACCAGAACCATAGTTTCTGCTGACAACATGCAAATCTCTTGGTAGGGGTGCATATCCCGAATTGGTTGAAAGCAGGCTCCTCTGATATCTTGTTCTAGAGGCATGGGTGAGTCAGTGTTAGGAGTGGGAGGAACCCCTCCTGCTCCTGCTCTTGCCCTCTTGGACGGATTAGCTTTTTCTGGGAGTAGGGGGGTCGGGTCATTGACATCCTCCTTAAGGGGGGGGTGAGGTTCCCCCAACGTTGTTACTCACTGTTTGTTCTATTTGCTCCGTTTTCTCGATTTCCTCAACCCGCTCTGTTTCTGAGCCAGGGCAGATGGCGTTGGCTCTCTGCCGATTCTTTGTTTTAGAGGAATTGTGAGTCTCAATAATGGTCTTCTGGCTCTTTGCACCTCGTTTTCTCCTTCCGGCAGGCATTCTCAATAAGGAAGTGACAGTTGGAGGAGTGTCACTCCAATGAGGAGTGACAGTTGGAGAACTAGGCCTCAAACCTTCCGGCCTAAAAGAGCAGGTTTTAGCATGGAAAGCCACCCCACCCCCGAACACACTCAGTGGTGGAGATTTAAAGCACATTTAAGAATAAGGGCAAGTATGTAGACTCTATCAAGCAAAATGATCATCACATCTGCGTCTCTTTTTGTTGTGCCCTTGCCAGAATAGAGGAACTTTGGGAAGCAAGCCCTGTTTCTCACTGAGCACCAGGAAGCTTATAACAGGGATGTAGTGAATATAATCTTTCTCCTCTGTGGAATAGGGGCAACATCTGTTCGAACGTCTTGAAATTGCTTATCATGGTTTGATATAACTTAGTTCTAGGCTGGGGTAGAGTACATAGGGAGATTTCATTTTATCTTCACAATAGCACTAGAGTGTTAGACTGAGAGACACTCATTGAGCTTCATGGTCATGCATGAACCCTCATTTCCTCAGCCCAAAATCTTACCCTCTGTCCAAATTGAGCTGCTTCCTTTCTGAAGAGCAAAAGAGTCAAAGAATCAATAATAATAATAATAATAATAATAATAATAATTTATTATTTATACCCCGCCCATATGGCTGGGTTTCCCTAGACACTCTGGGTGGCTTCCAGAAAAATATTAAAATACAGTAATTCCTCAAATATTAAAAGCTTCCCTAAACAGGGCTGCCTTCAGATGTCTTCTAAAAATCAGATAGCTGTTTATTTCTTTGACACCTGGTGGGAGGGCATTCAACCGGGGGGGGTGTCAAAGAATTACAGAGTTGGAAGAGACCCTGAGGATCATCTAGTCCAACCCCCTGCAATGCAGGAATATTCAGCTGTCCCATATGAGGATTGAACTAGCAACCTTGGCATTATCAACACCATGCTCTAACCAACTGAGCAAAAACAAAACAAAAACTCACAAATGTGCAGCAAGTTAATAAGTTTGCAGTGCATTCACACTGGCCATCTCTTTTCAACAAAGCAATAACCCATTTACACTTTTGATCAATAAAAAACACCGAGTTTTATTAAGTATACTGGCATAGGCAATAAGAAACTCCTAGCTAAAGAGCCAAGTGTATTTTCTTAGGCATCAAGTGATTCAAAGCAATAATATAAAAGACAAATGGAGGCCTAAGTAACAGGAAATCTAAATAATTTCTTCACTGAATTATATTGATTTCTTTTCCTGGAAGGTGTTTACTTCATTAACATGATTAGTGAAGGAGGATAGTAGAATCCATAATGAGGAAGTATCAACTGGGCCAATGTAAAGTGTGATACCCCAATGCATCATAAGCAAGATGAAGAAATAAGTACACTATATAAGTTGGCTCAATAGCCATATTATGTAGCCCAAGAGAGAAGAGTCAAGCCTACATGACTAACCAGAATTATTTTGTTCTTTTTAATCAAACTAATGGTGGCACTAGCAAAATTGCCTGTGAATAATTCTTGTGTTAGGCCTCTATTGCAACACAGTGGAAATCTTCCCATTCATTTGCCCTGTTAGCTTCAATTCACCATGAATTCTGTTTGTAGAAATGAATGAGAAAGTGGAAAGCTTCTTGGGATGTACCAAGAATACCCCAGTAACTGTAAAACACTAGAAATAATGAGAGATTTTAAAATGTGCACAAACAAAAATAATAGTTTAGTGATTCCAATGGAAATGCTTTCTAAAGTCAGCTTAGAAGCGTATGGGGCCTTGGTGAATTATAGCTACAAAGCACCAATATGAGGCAGTCACATGTTCTAGCTAAAATACAATAGACAATACTCTGTTTGAAAGAGTATCTGGTCTAAGTACACTTTAAAGATAAAGAACCCTAAGGAGGGAAAAACATTGATAATTGCCCATTATCAATTAGCAGGTGGACTCAGGTCACTTGGCCACAGCCTTCCCCACTATGCTGAGATTTGTTGTATTTCTATTTAAATTATAGTAGATATTGTAAATTTTGCATCTGCAAATTTAATGTAAATCTATTTCCTGTTTTGCTATTTCACCTTTTGCAAAGGTGATATGTTTTCTCTTTTGAGGCAAAGCATAAGTGGCCACCCTAGGAAAGGATGTAGTCCTAACCTTTGCTCAAATTCTGATTTCCTGTATCATTGGATAAGGCATTTAATTATAGCAGAGAGGTTTAGAAGGAACAAGATTATGAAGAGCTGGGGTTGATGACTAAGAGTGTAAAGCTGTGTGATGAGAATTCCTGAATACACTCAGCCCCTTCCCAGCAATGTATGGATGATGATGATGATGATGATGATGATGATGATACTAGCCTGCTTCACAGGGTTGTTGTAGAAGCACTTGGAAATAAAAGAGAAAGAGAGGGAGGAGGGAGTGAACAATAATAAATGCTAAGTATTCCTTCTGTATTCACATACCTCAGTCATATAAATAATTTCTATAACTTCTGATTTTATATCAGAAGATTTCAAAGATCAAAAGTATTTGCATCTCTTTAATACAGCAACCATGCTACTTCTGGAATGCCTAGATCTGTAGAAGTTTCCAAATAAAATATTTTGTCTGTGTGTCACATTTCTCCTTACAGAACCTTGACTGTGTTTTCTTTTATGTTTTCTTCTTTATAATTTTCTAGTCTCCTGCTGGTTTCCTTCTTCATCTTTTCTTCTTCCTATATGCCCTGAGGCATCTGTGTGTGTGTGTGTGTATTTTCTCTCTGTGTGTGTATGTATGCACACTCATGGCTGCCAGACCATTTTATTTCCTGTCCCTCTTTATTAATATTTTCCCTTCTTTCTTTCTTCTTAGGCTTACTTCTCCTTGCATCATTTACAGCAATATTTCTATAACGTACCTGCTAAAAATCAACACAAAGCAAGTATTACTTGATCAAAAGGGGAAGCTTCAAAGTCTATATTCAAAAAGATCCTGCCAATTTTTTGCTCTGAACTCCAGATATAAAAACAAAGACCAATTTTCTGATTGCAAGCTAGAAGCAAACCAGGACAGAGGTCTTAAGAGAGAAAGGCAGGGAAGCAAAACAACCTGAAACAGAGAGTGAGGAGGGGAATGAACTTACTATTGTCAAACTATACTTACATCTAACAGCTTAATCTTCTGTAGTTCCAGAGCAAAAGGCTGAGAGCTAGTATTTCAGAGCTGGCACAGAAGAGCACTCCATTCTTGCTTTACTTATGGTATTATTAACTGAGCTGAGACAGGTCTGGCTCTATTAAGTAGTGATGTCAGCAAGACTCATATTTCCAAGGTAGGAAGTACAAGTCCCAGAGCTTATAATGCTCATCTCAGATAAGAAGCAATGATTATGGATGCAAATTCTTCTCCAACTCTAAATCTATAATCCAATCTGGAACAGAATTCCCCTACATCAGACCCATCTGTGCTCTCCCTGATCCTTAGCCCTATCTCACTCATTAGAAGAAAGGTGGGATATAATAATGAGAAGGATTCAACAAATGAACTCTGTGAGCTGAAGCCCTGTGCATGACTTCTGCTTGTGAAATAGGACTTTCCCTCCTCTCCTTCCTTCCCATGCCCCCCCCAATTGGCTTGGAGGTGTCAAAAAATGCACTAGAGCATCACACAGGAGGAGAGGGGAGATTTATTCTGTCTGGCAAAAAGAAATGCTTTCCCCTTTGGATGATGGTATCCAAACAAATATCTCTGGATAAAATGAAGCATGTCCCAATGAAGTAAGATAAAGGAGGACATCTCCAGATTACCTGTTTATTGAGCATTCATCCTGGTTTGCTTGCAGAAAGTTTCCAGGGATGCTAGATTACCTCCTGTCTTTATCGAGCATGTGTTCTGATTTGTTTACAGAGGGGTTATAAAACAAAAACTTCTCCTGCTTTCATCCTGATTTGCTTAAATGGTGTTTATATGTTTTTTTTCTGTTAGTTATCCCTCCATCCCACACTTTTCAATTCATTTTCCCTTCTCTTTATTAACTGCAACAAGTCTTGTGGATTTGGTGTGGCAGGACAAGAAGAGTACCTTAACTGCAAAAACCTAAAGTTCTGGTATACTCTTGAATCCTTCCTGCAAAACTGGAGGTGCCTGTAGAGGAATATGACATAGATGTTCTTGCTCCATTCAGGCAAGTGAGTTCTGCACAAGCTTAAACAGTTCTTTGTACTTCAGCATCTGGAATGCTTGCTTGTTTTGATTGCTTGGTTACCTTTTATCAGTTTCTCTCTCCAGCTAAATTATTGTTTGTCCAGAAGCTTTAGAGTCAAATTAGCAGCAACAGTTTCCAATGCTGCAAAGATCCACTGACAGCAGTTCTGTTGGATTTTACTGATATTCGAGGGCTGTGTGCACATCATCATTTTTTTAGTAGGTCTAAGATGCTCATTCTGCTTCACAATCACTGCAGACAGTATAGATTGCTTGTGATAAGCTGAAAGTCATTTTTGCTTTAAAAGGTTGCAAAATCTTGACAGCATGGTCAGCTGGCTGCACAGCCTTTTCACTGAAGGAATCTGACTTCTATGTCACTTGCAGTGTAAATCCACAGCTGTAGCTGCTGTTCCCAGACTGCTTTTTAAAAAAAGTAATTGAGCATCTGTTGATTAGATCAGAAGGAGGCTATGACTTGTTCTACCAATTCAACTTCTCCACCAACTTACATTTATTAGGCTATTTCATAAGTAATCTACTGCCAGGAGCCACTGGGACTACAGGTAACATTCCTCAGCTCTGTAGTCAGCTGCCCCATGTGGTAGCCCATTAGAAGTGTGGTTTGGAGCACCTTCCTGAGCAGTAGAATATTCTTAGGCCCTGGGCTGGCCCCACTCAGCCAAGATGGCCATAACCCGCCTCTAGGTAGTCACAGCTATAAAGCCTTCAGGTTTAGACTGGCTGAACTTTGCCTGCACTAGTGATTAGCCCTCCCAATTACTCTGGTATTTTCTGTTTCCTTGTGGCTCCCTCCTCCCAGGCTTTAATTGAAATGTGGGCACCCAAGAAGACTGCAGAGTTCACCACTGCTCAGATGAATTGCCGAATGAAAGGAAGGGCATTCACAAACATTCCTCAGCTACCTCAAAATAAGCTGTACACAACTAAATCCATCCACTTGGCCTATGAGAATTTCACCATAATTATCACTCCGCTTTTATAATTTTTGAGTGCAATTTCTTTTCATATTTATTCATGGGACATTGTCGGGAAAACTCTGGGTCCAGGTTCAAAACTTTAGTTCCAGGTTGCACTCATTCATTAATTCTGATTTGTTCTTTCTATTCTTGACCTTCCAGTGACCACTCCTGTTTCCTGAGTCATATTCTGACAACTTCCTATGGCTCAGCCTTGATTTTATATATATAAATTTTTGGCACACAGTTTCTCTGACAAGGGGATGCAGGCGGCACTGTGATCTAAACCACAGAGCCTAGGGCTTGCCAATCAGAAGGTCAGCAGTTTAAATCCCTGGCGATGGGGTGAGCTCCTGTTGCTTGGTCCCAGCTCCTGCCCACCTAGCAGTTCGAAAGCACGTCAAAGTGCAAGTAGATAAATAGGTATCGCTCCAGCGGGAAGGTAAACGGTGTTTCTGTGCACTGCTCTGGTTCGCCAGAAGCGGCTTAGTCATGCTGACCACATGACCCGGAAGCTGTCTGCGGACAAATGTCGGCTCCCTCAGCCTATAGAGCGAGATGAGCACGCAACCCCAGAGTCATTCGTGACTGGACCTAACGGTCAGGGGTACCTTTACCTTCTCTGGCAAGGCAGGCAGCATGTTAATGTCCTGTATTTTTAGTGGATCTCCTAAACAGATTTTTAATTTACGTTGTTGAAAGTAATGTTGTTAAGACCACTTGCTCTTTATTATATACAGGCTGTCATTTGCTTTGTGTCGTCTTCTCTTGCAATATGCATATAGCATATAAATCAGTTATCTCCAAGTTTAC